AGAGACTTTTCTTCCACAGTGGTTCTATATTTCATGGGCAAACTGGTACATTATTGCTGCAATAATGATTTAAATATAAATACCATCAAAGCTGTAATTACAATGGACATAACTTTATTTCAAAGACTTCCCAGCACTCACACTCTCAGTCATTAACTTCCCTGAGCAGAGAAGCTGCTGGCACTGTCTGTGTTCTGCAGAGGTTGAGTCCGCAGGAGACCCAAAGGCAGATAGACACATAAAGGCTAGGAAACTGTGGGTGGCTTTTCCCCACAAATACACACAGGTGCATCCATGCACACATGGATACAGATGCAGACTTCCCCCATGTCTCTACAATGCCATGCCTGTATCTTACAGGGAGCACAAAAACATGGGTTCTCTAATGAAGACCAATGATGTCTCTTTGCAGCCTGGGTGAGCACCACCGCTTCTGTTGTTCTGGTTCTCTGGTTTACACACATGAGCATATAGAAAGCACAAGGATCATAAAAGGCCTACCCTTCTCCTTCCTTTCCTCCTCTTCAGGAGTATGACCCCCATTTATCATTCATCTCTTCACGAAAAGGTTTGCAACTATATTAATCCACTTGCTACCATCACCCTTCTCTGTGGGTCCTCAGAACTCCCTGACATCATTGTATCCAAGCTAGAAATGACGACCAGCCAGCCTGAACATAGGCAACTAACTAGCTCTGACCTTGGGCTGTTGGCAACAAGATGCAGAAATCCTAGCAGGCACCATTCTCTGCTGACAAGGGAGTCCTGTCCTATGGAGGCCCAGCCCATGGGAAACCAAAGGGATTGGGTCTTACACTCAGAGCTCCAATCATATGCTAACAAGAGTCTTTACTGTTGAGTACCCAAGAGTTCATGAAGCAACTACCACTGTCTGCTAGCAAAGCCGTGCTCTGGGGCAGAACTAGCAAAGGGAGAAAGAGAGAGGGTCACATCTTGTCACTTTAACAGCTGAAGTGAAAACCTGGACTGGTTGAGCAGAAATGAGTGCTTGTTTCTTGTTCGCCTAAACTGTCTCATTTGATGGCATGCAGGCTGTTTTGTACTCAGTTTGTTCTGTCAATCTCTCTTGTTCATCTCTAATGCTGCAGCCCTCTGTCCTTGTGGACCTCCAAAGGCATGTTTCCTAGACAACACAGCACAGCTCAGAACACCTCATTTATGCAAGTGTACAAAGAGCATCCTTCTCTCATTCACAGCTGGCATTAAAAGACACGTTTATCAGGTGCGAGCAGGATTCTAAAAGCCCTGGCAATTTTTCTGCATCTCTCTGGAGAAGAAAGAACTCAACAAACAGGTCCCCCAAGTGAGCAACACAAAGCAAGGGGGCAGCAGGTTCTCCCAAAAGGACTGCCAACTGCCAAGCAGATGAGCATAGCGGGGGCAGGCGACTCTCCCATCTCTTGAACACAACCCTGCCAAGGAAGGGAAGAATCACAACAGCCAGGGCCAGAAAACCAGGATGTACAACAGACAGACAGACAGATACACAGATGGACAGGAGATGGTGAAGGGCAGGCAATGGCTTCCACAAGCCAAAAAGCACTGCAACTTAAATCACAACAGTGAGGACAGCCGTGCCCCACAGTGCTTCTGCGGGACTGCACCTCTCGGTCCTATCTGCAGGATTCCAAGTTTCTTCACTGCAGAAAATTCTATGACAATTCAAAATCAGTTACAACAGCCGGGCAATGGTGGCGCACGCCTTTAATCCCAGCACTCGGGAGGCAGAGGCAGGCGGATCTCTGTGAGTTCGAGACCAGCCTGGTCTACAGAGCTAGTTCCAGGACAGGCTCCAAAGCCACAGAGAAACCCTGTCTCGAAAAACCAAAAAACAAACAAACAAAAAAATATCAGTTACAACAGACGGAAAAGCCTAAGTAGAAAATTGAAAAGTTTATTAAAATAACAGTATGCTACCAGTGCTGGTGGCTTCACCTTGGGAAAGCCAAAATGGGAGAACAGAACTACCAAGAGTTCAAGGCCAGCTTGAACTAAGTAGCAAGTTCCAAGTCAGTCCAAGCTACCTTATGAGACCCTCTCTTAAAAAAAAAAAAAAAGAGAAAAGAAAGGAAAAAAATGTGCATTTAAAATTAAAAGTTCCTAAATGAATTATAAAATTATCAAACATAACTGATATGTAAAAATAATAAAACATAAAACATACTCAATATTATTGGTCACCAAACATACAAAGTAAAACAACTAAATAGCACTTTGTATCTACTAAGATAGCTAAAATGAAAAAAATAACAAAAGCTGACAAGAAAATCATGTCACCAAAAGGACTGTAAAAGGGTTTGGTTAAAAACAGAATTCCCATGTGACCAGTTATTCCACTCCAAGAATTGAAATTGCATCTGTGCAAAAATGGCATGAATGCTCCCAGTTGCCAAAGGTGAAAACAGCCTGCCCACTGAGGAATGGCTGCGGAGTTCTCTTCACAGAAAGGAGTGCAGGTATGTGCTGCCCAGGGATGCATGAAAGCAGCCAATCAGACAAGGTCACACAATGAAAGACAAACGTCACAGAGAAGTGACGAGAGATGAGAGGTTGCCAGGAGCTGGGAAAAGGGCCCAGACGGGGCAAGATGGCCTTTGGGGAGGTAAAGTAAGACAGTGATGATGGCAGAAAGAGGATGGGACTATGTCCCTGAAGGAACGGTGGTTCATCTCTTCAGTCAGCATCCCTGGTGTTCCACCCTGGACATCTAGCAACACCGTGGCCTTCATAGCTGAACATTGAAAGCACCACCTAAAAAACCACTTTTCTCCCAGGCTCGGTTTCTAAATTCTGCTCCTACAGAGATGACCACACTACAAAGCCACGCCTCGTCGGAAGGAAACGCAGAGCTGTCTCCTGACCCAGCTAAGGAGTGCCAACAGACTCCAGCCCAGCCCAGCACCTCGTGGCTTCCAATGGAAGATGGGGTTCATTAATTACTGGGAGATGGGTACCACAGGAAGGCTGGGAGCAGCAGCCAGAAGTGAAGCATGTGGTTCCCCCCAGAAAACATCTCTCCCCTCCTAATTACATTAATTGCAATTAGCTCTCTCCTCCTTCACAATTCTCCCACTCTGACACCTGCACAGGCCTGTGGCTTCTGTTCAGCACCATCTTAGCTGCCAGTGGTCCTCAAGCTCATTTCCAGGAAGTCTCAGCAGGGAAGTGCTTCTGCTTTGCAGCCATAAGTATGCGCGCACCTTGGCACGCCTTCTCTATTTTCACTAGCAGCCCCACACCTAGTCTTCAGAGCAAATTAATATCTCTCATCCTCGGCCTGAAATAAAGTTACTGATGATAGACAGACACTTCATTTTTTCCCCATAATTCATTCACCCTGAAGGAAAAGTTTCATAAGTAATTAAATTGATTTTCCTTCCTATTTGGGACACAGATCTATTAGGAACAGCAAAGTAATGGAAAGCCTGTTTTTCCATGAGAATCCCTTTGGGAGACTGGCAATCTGCGTGTTCCAGCAAGAGGCGCGTCCTGGGATGCAGCTGAGGGAGCCTCAGCAGACGGGGAGCCAAGCGCACATCGTCTCTCTTCCTAATTGACATGTGCTGTATACATTACATTCAGGAGGGGTTCACAGGCACTTTCTGGATCTAGAAAGGCTCTTAAATATTAATGCAGTCTGAATCCATCTTGAATACTGTTCAATTCTTATTACTGAAGCAAAACCTCAAACATCTGACAACACTGGCATAGCTAAGCAGCTATGAACGTGTGACAGAAGTAGCCACTTCTAATTACCCACAGGAGACTCACTGAGCCTTCCCTGGAGAAACAGATGGCCATGGCTAAGGTTGGGCCTTTGGGGGTGAGGAAGATGCCCTCATAAAGCAAAGCTCTTCACTCGCAGACAGACATGCCTTCCTCATCCACCACTCAGAATGAGAAACTACTCAAAACAAAAATAAGACAGAAAACAAGACGGCTCCATTACTGCTGCCTGAAGGTGAGCAGCACGCAGGTACCTGCTAGGTCCTGTCAGATTCCCTAAACACAAGGGGAGAAAGAAGAACTAAGACATACTTATGGCCTCAACTGGAAAAAAGGGTGCAATACACCCCAAACATGTCCCTGAACTTCACAGGCATCAATTTCCCTGCTGTGATACAGGATTGGCTTTTAAGATTAAAAAGAATATATGTAAAATGTGGGATACAGAACCTGTCACAACAGAAAGGTGTGTCTGTGGTGCATGGTGAGTGTAAGACCTTCTTTTTCTTCCTACAGTGAGCAGCACAGGGGTTTGCATCCAGGATTTGTACACTCACTGGCCTAGTTTACTTTCAATGCTATGATAAAACACTGACCAAAAGCAACTTGGGAGGAAAGACTTTAATCCAGCTTACAGGTTATAGTCCAACATTGATGGAAACCAAGGCAGGAACCTGGAGGCAGGAACTGAAGCAAAGACCATGGAAGAACACTGCTTATTGGTTTGTACCCCTGGCTTGGCTCAGCTACCTTTCTTACAAGGTCTAGGTCCACCTGCCCAGGGTAGCACATCCACAGTGGGCTGGGCTCTTTCCCACACCAATCAATCAAGAAGTGCCCCACAGACCAATCTGATGGAGGCAATTGATGTTCCCTCTTCCCAGGAAAGTCTAGACTTATGTCAAGTTGACAAAACTAACCAGGGCATTCATTTACCACAACACCTATTTCCAAATTTGAAAATCAGCTGACAATCGGCACAGCCCATACCTGCTCCACACTTAAATGTTACAAGTCTATTGGGGCCCCACTGGCTGCTCTGAAAAGCCATCTTTGCATTGTTCCTGGTGCTGCTCGGTGCTCGCTGCAGCCGCCTTCGCCTTCGCCCGCCCGCCGCCTCCTCCTCCTCCTCCTCCTCCTCCTCCTCCTCCTCCTCCTGCTCCTCCGCGGAGGACTCCGGCAGCTCTCTCGCCAGAGTCCTCGAACTCGATTCGTCTCGCCCTCGCTGCAGCGGATCACCGGCATGCCCCACCATGTCAGACTCGGCCATGGACACCAGCTCTGAGATCACCACCAAGGACTTGAAGGAGAAGAAGGAAGTTGTGGAGGAGGCAGAGAATGGAAGAGACGCACCTGCCAATGGCAATGCTCAGAATGAGGAAAATGGGGAGCAGGAGGCCGACAATGAGGTAGATGAAGAAGAGGAAGAAGGTGGGGAGGAAGAGGAGGAGGAGGAAGAAGGTGACGGTGAGGAAGAGGATGGAGATGAAGATGAGGAAGCTGAGGCTCCTACGGGCAGCAGGTAGCTGAAGACGATGAGGATGATGATGTTGACACCAAGAAGCAGAAGACTAACGAGGATGACAGCAAAGGAAAAGCTAAACTGAGGCCGCCGTGATCTGTTCACCCTCCACTTCCCGTCTCAGAATGGTCACCTTCGAGTAGAGGAGCAGGCCCCGCCCGCCCACAGCGGGCAGTGCCACCCACAGATGACATGCGCTCTTCATCAACCCACCAAAACCACAACATGAATTTGCAACAGGGGAGGAAAAAAACCAAAACTTCCAAGGCCCTGCTTTTTTTCTTAAAAATACTTTAAAAGGAAAATTTGTTTGTATTTTTTATTTACATTTTATATTTTTGTACATATTGTTAGGGGTCAGCCATTTTTGATGATGACGGGTGACCAGACCAGCCTTCAGAGCGTTCTCTGTCCTACTTCTGACCTTACTTGTGGTGTGACCATGTTCATTATAATCTCAAAGGAGAAAAAAAACCTTGTAAAAAAAAAAAAAACGACAACAAAAAAACAATCTTATTCCGAGCATTCCAGTAACTTTTTTTGTGTATGTACCTAGCTGTACTATAAGTAGTTGGTTTGTATGAGATGGTTAAAAAGGCCAAAGATAAAAGGTTTCTTTTTTTTCTTCCTTTTTTTTGTCTATGAAGTTGCTGTTTATTTTTTTTGGCCTGTTTGATGTATGTGTGAAACAATGTCCAACAATAAACCAGAATTTTATTTTGCTAAGTTGTTCTAAAAAAAAAAAAAAAAACAAGTCTATTGGGAAAGCCTGCCTATGCCCCATCGCCAGGACCAAGCACTCTGAGCTGTAAGACTACCTGAGAGACATCTCCCGGGAATTCGGGAAAATGAACCAAGCCCTCTGCTACTCACTGTCCTAGAGAACCATGGCCCTCCATATTAATGAGACCCACATTTAAGGATTCTTAAAACTGCAGCTCAAAATCTGTGCCTGCACAGAACAGGCACAGCCATTTTCATGTCATTATTCCCTGATCAATGCAGGAAAACAACTGTTTACATACATTAACATGCAGGGTATGATGAGTCATCTAGAGACTGTTTAAAGTATACGGGAGGAGGTGAAGGCTGCATGCAAATACTATGCATACATATACAGATGCGAGCATCTGCAGATTGCACTGTCCACAGGGGTCCAGGAGCCAATCTCCATGGATGCAGAGGGACTGAAATTGCTCAGCAACCATCCTGACTAAACCTGAACCATCTCAGAATTGCAAATCCTGATGACATATTCCAAATTCAGTGTGGACACTCCCTACCTACATAGGGTTCCTCATTCACTCAACTGCTGAGATGGAATCATAACTCCAAAATGGCAAATGTGTCTTTGATGGAGATAGGGCTTTGTTTTTTAGATTTCCATTGTCTAAGTGTACTACTTTTTAAATATTTTTGATGGCTTATGACTTTGCAGATAATGCCCATCTCCTTTTCTCTATAATGTACAAGATTTTCACCTTTAGATTTATGAACAGATGTGAGCAATGGACATTTTCATCTCTGTATTTCCTCTCTCCTTGCAGCAGTTAATCATCTATAAATTGTAGATGATCTGTTTGATCTGAAAACACCATTAAAAAAGGAAAGAATGTTCTTGTGTCTTCCAAAAAAAAAAGAAGAGCATCTGCAGTCTTGCTCTAAATACCACCTGCTGGACTTTGGATAGTGACTGTCCCCCAACCATCCATGTGTAAGGGAGAAGTCACTAGTAAGTAGCAGATCCTTTCAGAGGCAAGGCACCATGGGAGGTCCCTAGGTCATTCAGGGAACCCAGCCCATCATACAGAGTGATAGGTCCTGCCTCACCACACATGCACATGCCACAATCGTGTGCTGCCCCACCGCAAGCACACAGCAACACAGCCTGGTAATCTTGACCTCGGGCCTGCAAAACAATAAACCTAAACAATAGACCTTTCTTATTGCAAGTTAATGATCCAGGTATTTGGTAACAGTGACAGAAAGCTGAGGAGCACAGAGTCCTTCCTGTGAGTAACAGGGTGAAAAGATGTCCTCCTACATACCCTTGAGAGTCTGTCCACTTGCTAAAGACACCATCACCTGAGGCTGCAGTCGGAATCTGCCCCCACAATCAGCATGCCAACACCATGTCAGGAGAGCTGCTGGCAGTCTGCTGCCGCATCTGATTTGCTTCATAATGGCAAAGCCCCATCCTCTGCCAACTTGTATCTGCCACTGTGGCTCAAAAATAATTCTTTCACTGGAACCTGGGGAGGCAGACTTCAAATGCTGTCTCCATATTTCCTTTACACCCTCCTGAAAGATGACGCAATCACGGGGCAACAAAACAAGAACTCAGGTTCACAGGAGAAGGTTCCGCTCACATACAGGACCCTAGTGCAACTTTTACTTGCTCACCCTCTACTATGTTAGTTTCTTTAAACTCTATTTGGGAATATATGATTAGTAATGACAACAGACTACCAATGGAGACAAAGAACACTGGGAGACAATACCAAAAGAAAAAAATAAAGTGGGGGGGGAGGGAGATTTTAAAAAATGATTCAGTCAGTAAAGTCCTTTGTTTAATTTCCTGCACCCATGTAAAAAGCTGGGCATGACAGACTGTTCCTGTAATCTCAGTGCTCAGACGACACAGAGGATTCGAGGGGCTTTCTGGATGACCAATCAAGCCAAACCAGTAAGCTCTATGTTCCATGAAAGGTCTTTCAACACCCAATGCCGACTTCTGGACTTGTGCATACAAACACACACACACACACACACACACACACACACACTTCTCTCTCTTTCCCCCTCCCTTCATCCCTCCCTCTCTTAAAAAATTAAAAAGTGATGGCGCACGGGAGGCAGAGGCAGGCGGATCTCTGTGAGTTCGAGGCCAGCCTGGTCTACAAGAGCTAGTTCCAGGACAGGAACCAAAAGCTACGGAGAAACCCTGTCTCGAAAATCCAAAAAAAAAAAAAAAAGGTGGGGGGGAGGCGGCCGGAACCGGGAAGGCGGAGGTGGCCAGAATACGGATGGCGGAGGTGGCCAGAACCAGGACTGCGGAGGTGGCCAGAGGACGCCCTCTGTGGCCAGCGGGGACAGGCTGGGACCGGCTGGGACCGGCTGGGACCGGAGTGGCAGCAGAGGACACAGGCCGCAGGCAGCCGGAACCATCGTGGCAGCAGAAGCAGGATGCAGGGACTGCTCGCAACACCGAGAGCAGATCGCCCCACTACAATTAAATCAAAGAGGTAGGCCTTTGGTTGGGGAGGTCCCTGGCAAAGGAGGAGCCGGGTCCTATTCCTGAAGACCCTTCTGAGGGGTGAGAGGGATCTTGGCCCCCGGAAGGAACCAGGAAACAGAGCTAGGGCATTTTGTAACAGGAGCCCCTGGCCAGCAGGGAAACCTGAACCAGTTTTAACAGACCCCTTAGATAGCATCGATAGGAGGAGATGGGCAGGCGCCAAGGCAAGAATTCACCCAATAATCTGAAAAACAGCATGAAAACACCAGAACCCAATGATCTTACAACAGAAGGTCTTCAACACCCTAACACAGAAGAAGTGGAAAAAATTCACTTTATGAAAGCAATAGAGTCCCTTAAACAACATGTGAAAAATGCCCTAATAGAAATGGATGAGAAGTATAACCAATAATTTGAAGAAATGAATAAATACGTACATAATACCCTGGGAAACCAAGAAAGAATGATCAAACAGGTAATGGAAACAGTTCAAGAATTGAAAACTGAAACGGAAGCAAGGAAGAAAACACAAACTGAGGACCAGCTGGATATGGAAAATCTAGGTCAACGAGCAGAGCCTACAGAAACAAGTATAATAAATAGAATACAAGAAATAGAAGAAAGAATCTCAGATTCTGAGGACACCATAGAGAAAATAAACGCACTGATCAAAGAAAACTGCAAAGCCAACAAATTCTCATCACAAAACATTCAGGAATTATGGGACACAATAAAAAGACCAAACCTAAGAATAATAGGAATAGAAGAAGAAGAGTCACAGCTCAAAGGCCCAGAAAATATTTTGAACAAAATTATGGAAGAAAACTTTCCCAACATAAAGAAAGATATTCCTTTGAATATTCAAGAAGCATACAGAACAACAAACAGACTGGATCAAAGAAAAACATCCCCTCACCATATAATAATCAAAACAGAAAATATACAGGTTAAAGAAAGAATACGAAGAGATGCAAAGGAAAAAGGCCAAGTAACTTATAAAGGTAAACCGATCAGACTTACACCTGATTTCTCTATGGAAACAATGAAAGCCAGAAGGTCCTGGATAGAAGTACTGCAGAAGCTAAGAGACCATGGATGCAAGCCCAGACTACTATACCCAGCCAATCTTTCGTTCACTATAAATGGAGAAAACAAGACATTCCAGGATAAGAACAAACTTAAATAATATGTAGCCATGAATCCAGCCCTACAGAAAGTAATAGAAGGAAAATCACAACCCAAGGAATCCAACATTGCCAACACTGCCTACAATAACTGAGGCATCTAGCGACCCTTCCCTAGCACAACTCAAAGAAGGGAGACACACAAATTCTACTTCCAAAAACAATAAGAATATCCGGAGTAAACAACCACTGGTCATTAATATCACTTAATATTAATGGTCTCAATTCACCTATAAAAAGGCACAGGCTAAGAGATTGGATACAAAAACAGGATCCAACATTCTGCTGTTTGCAAGAAACACATCTCAACCACAAAGACAGGCATCTACTCAGAGTAAAGGGTTGGGAAAAGGTCTTTCAAGCAAATGGTCCTAAGAAAAAAGCAGGTGTGGCCATATTAATTTCTAACAACACTGACTTCAAACTAAAATCAATCAAAAGAGATCGAGATGGACACTTTATACTCATAACAGGAACAATTCGTCAGGATGATGTCTCAATCGTGAATATTTACGCCCCTAATATAAAAGCACCCACTTATGTAAAAGAAATATTACTAAAACTCAAGGCAGACATCAAACCACACACACTAGTAGTAGGAGACTTCAATACACCTCTCTCAGCAATGGACAGGT